TTCTAGTGACCCGTATGTGAAAGTGACCGTGTATGATCCAGTGAATGGAGTCCTTACCAGTGTTCAAACAAAAACTATTAGAAAGGTTAGCCTTTTTGTTTTTGTTCCTAGCAGGGTGTGGAAATGTGCCAAATGTACCTCCAGAGTGAGAAGATGTGGAAAATATTCCATGATTTATCCTGATTCTCTGTATATGTCATTGTTCTGATATCTTCCCTTCAATAATTTATAAATGAAAGGTAAATTAAAAGCCAAGTTAAAGCTGTTGTGCTTTCCTTTTAGGTGGATTATTAAACAAGATGAAATAGATATAAAACATGAAATGGTACCAGTAGTGAAAGGTCATTGTAACCAGTGTTGTCTTTTTTCGCTCCCCCTTCTTTATATAGTCCTTAAATCCAAAGTGGAATGAAGAACTTTTATTTCGAGTAAGTATTTTTTTTTTAATCTTATTATCTATCTTGGATATTATCATATTAGCAAAAATACTACTATTGAAATCAGAAATGAGGTTTTTATAATTAATGTTCAGATGTTCGCAAATTGCTTTCCACAGAAACACACTTGCAAGTATTAAAGCTTAAAATTTCATTCTAGCAGAAATAAAAATCTTACAGTGATTTAATGAGTTTGATTTTCACAAAGCAATAGTAACAAAGCAATTCATGTATATTATGCATTTAATTCATTGTGGTTTAGATTCTTTAATGGTATCATGTAATACAAAGACTGTCTTAAAGAGAATCATCTATATTCTTCCTACTCATTTGCCTTTTAGCAGTTAGATGCACAATCATGTTTTCTCCCTTCTTTATGACACCTTTTCTTCAAGGTCCATATTGATGGTGTAATTAAGTTCAGACAAGAATTTTTTCTCAGGTGTACTCTTCAATAGTGTGTTTTTTTTCTCCTTCCTGTGATGTAAGATCTAGTCTTTGTTTCATAAAATTTTTAAGCAGAACAAGACAAATAATCCAGAAAAATTCAAAGAATTCTGATTTCATGCTTTGACACTTTATTGCTATAAAAACAGTTACTAAAATCCTTTTGAACCCCTACTATAGTTTGTGATTCTAGTTAAAAGGCTATACCTGCATACAATCTGACATGCAGTTACTCAAGAATCAATTATAATCTAGATGCCAAAATCGTTAAGTCACTTTAATTATAAAAGTCTCTTGTGTAATTTGGAAACTTATCTTTATATGTTAAATTAGAGTAAGCTCATTTTTGCTCAGATAGTCAAAACAGATCAAATATTTTCTTTGTTGTCAGCAAGGGCTTTTCAAGTATTCAGAGGATAAAGAGATTCTTTGTCAAATACCAGATATCCTCTATTACATATCATCAACTTACATGTAACTTGCTTGTAAGCATGTGATGTATAGCATGTAGACATGTATACATTAAATGTTTGAGAAAGCTTTTAAATGTTGTGGGGACAAATACTACCTGTGAGGAACATGGAGAAAGGAGTATATACTTACAGGCAGTTGAAAATGCTTATCTTCCAGAATATAGATCTGCCTAAACTATTCATTTATTTATTTGTAAAAACAAGGTAACATTGTCAATTATGTTCCTGAGCTCACTTTCCAAATTCTAGGAGAAATTGCAGTTTGTAGTTTTGTATTTTTATTAGTCTTATGTATACTCCCCTGTGTAAATTTGGACATTTTGCCAAATAAGACAAATGATGAAATTTACCGTATGTTTTAACTAATACTTAACACTTTTCTTTTTCCTAGGTTAATCCTCAGAAACACAGACTCCTTTTTGAAGTATTTGATGAAAACCGTTTGGTAAGTCCTTTTGCATTAATATTTCTGTTTACTAAAGACTTGTGTGAAAATGAGTTCGTCTGAATGCAATATAGATTAGTAGGTTTTTTATAGTAAGAAGGTTCAAAACTCAGCTTAGTTACTTATCTGATATTAATGCACTTTGCTATTTTTCTGAAGCAGTAATATTACTAATGTTTAACTTTTAACTTGCTTTAACTTGTAAAAAGTCATCTTTTGTGGTGCTTCCCAAATGACATGGTCAAATTCTTCAGTGGTTTTGAGAGCTATGTGCTGAATTCCCTATTTTTTACAAACAAAGTAGTAGCAAGAATGCAAGTGTGTGCGTGAGAAGCTTTTTGTGAGAAATAGGTTACAAGAGTGTGTGTGCATTTGTTGAAAATCCAGCAGCGGGGCAGTGGATGCAGACCTGGAAGATGGATGTCAGGCTCTAGGAGGCCGTGAGTAAGTTAGGGATAGTTGTGTAGTTATTTCCAAAAAGAATTAATTGTAACTCTTCCTCTGACCCTGCTGTTATCTTCAGCATGAGCATATCTGCTGCCTGTTTCTCTGTATTCTCCTGTAAATGGGTAAGATGGTGCAACACAGTTGTGACAGTTGCATTCTGCAGCTATTGAAGTCAGACGTTCGCTCTCCCTGGCGAGGCAATGTAATTTTCACCCTGTGATGGTTTGGGCCTATTGTGTAAGATTGAGTGGTCTTTAGTTTATATTCTTAACAGTCTTGCTTTCATAGCCATTCTAAAGGATTTCTCTCTGTGTCTGAAGAATGTGGTGGCTATAAAGAACTTGGAAATAATTTAACAGTCTTTGGCTTAGATTTGGAAACAGTGCCTTGTTTTCTATGTGTGATTGTATTTTGATACCAAAACAGCAGAACCTGATGAGTCATTGCATAGTTCTACATTTGTCTCCCTACCAGGAAGGGAAGGGCAGTGATGTCGTTAAACAGATGGACCACTGAGGTGGTACTGAAATAACTAATGATGTTAAAATTAAGCGGGGGGTCTATTTTTTTATGTCAGCACTGACACAGAAGCTTGTATTAAAAAGTCATTTTACACTGAAAAAGGAAGCTGTAGTTGCTTGGATGGAACTATAGATTTATAACAAAAGAGAAACGACATACTGAGAAATCTGACTGAAATTGGTAGTGCAGAGTTACCAATATCTGTCAGTTTATCATTTATATAAGTATCACTTCTATAAATAGCTGAAGTAAGTTTGGAAAAACACTTCAGGTTATTCCTGGTGGGCAGAAGGAAGGTGTTGCTTCCTTCTAGTAAAAGCAAAAGCTCTCTAATAAAATGATTCCACTTTGCATATTAGTTTAAATCTAGTAAACTATGCTACTAATAAGTTTGTTGGAAAGTTTAAGTTTGTTGCATTGTTCCTTTTTTTTTTTTTTTTTTCTCCTCTTGCATATATTCAAGTTTTTTATTTTACTTTTCAATATAGTGCTTGAAGTTCAAATGTAGCTTTTGGAAACTGTAACTAAAAAGCTTTTTAGGCTTTTTATGTTCCTTCCCACTTTCCCCCCACCTTTTTATAATATTTGAAGAAGTCCAGGTGGTGACATGTAATGAAATAGATGAGCTATTGTATTTGTTGGCCTTTTATGAATAAGCTAGTATTCGCTTAGTGCTGCATTCTAATAATGGCATTCAAGTAAAGGAGGTTAAGTAAGCCCTGGAGTATAATTAGAAAACAAATTTGTTGCCTGCAAACAGAGTACTGTGAATCTGATTTTTGGCTGTTATTTGGGAAGGGGGTATAAATGTTAATTTTATTGCATTCTAGCTTAAAATACAGTAAAGGTTAAATAAATATGAAGCAGAAAAAAATCCTGTAGTATGACCTATAAAAGTATAAATGGCCTAGTGTTCTCTTGTGTTTGCGCTTTTGCAGCAGCAGGAAGTAATGTTAGCATGGTGGAGTTCAGTACTGCATCGCATAGGGCTTCTGTATTCAAAAGCACTTTCATAGCTGAATGCTTGTTTCTAAAAACCACTTAAGAGCAAGATTGTCTTTTTTCAAAAGTCCCACTAGGTGCCAGCAAAGGCCCTTCTGTGACTATATGAAACACTAAAGCGTTTGGAGGAATTCGGTCCCGTTACTTATACAATAGTCGACAGTCTGTTAATTTCTTTGAATGCCAATCACTTTATCAAAAAGTAAAAACCCAGTATCTGTGAATGTATGAACTGCCAGTCTGTATGCAATAGATCATATTGGGCAGCTTTTATTTCCTGTGATGGTACTCAATAATTATCTACTTACGTAGATGATCGGTCTACGATCATCTCAGTGTTTCGAAGTGTTTATATAGCTGGTCATATATTTGCATGCCAAAGCTACCTCTGATGGATGTCCATTTATTGTGGGCTTTTCAGCACACAACTTGAGGTAGTTCAGTTTGGAGAAAGAAAAAATCTTATACTGCTGTTCACAGTTTTAGTTTTGAAAAAGCTTAAAAATATATTGTTTAAAATGGTAGGCTGAAAATTAGTGCTGAATAACTGTTGTGGTTCTAATTCAGTATATTGCATTGAAAAATATTAAACAATTGAGAGGTTTTTATTATGTGTGAATCTGCATGAAGAGTGATTATTTAAGTGTTTAGACTGAGATGCCAAGTTTTTGCAGGTTTTATTTAAATAACATAGAAAAATATTTTTTTAAGGGATGAGGCTTATTTCCCTGGTTTATGCATAATTCAGACCTCAGCAGTTTGCTAGCATGGTTACTATTTGGAAATTCAATCCTAGACTTGATACTCAATTATATGGGACTTCATTCCTACCAACTTCCTGTAATTCTAAACCTCTGGGTAAAAATATTAGTAGTCATACGCTGCTGAGGAAAGTCCGGACACATTGACTCAGCTCGTGCAGCTGCAGCAGGAGTTGCTGTTTTAATCTTGAAGTCCTGGGAGTTTATATTGTATTTGTTCGTGCAAATTGCCGAAGGTGGAATTGAAACAAGGCCAGCAGTGTTTGCCAGTGTGTTGCAGCTGAGGTCGTTGGAACTTAAGTACTTTGTAAACGAATGCTTTCTGACTACAAGCAGTCCAAGACGGACCAGAAACTGCAGTTCAACAAATTGCTGACTTGTTTCAAGAGGTACTTTTTTGTTGTTTGCTTTTTTACTTCTTCTCACTAGTATTCTGTAGAAACCAGGACAAAGACTGCAACTTTTATGGGCTTTTACTCCTGTAATGTGCTCCATCTCGGTTCTGTGTGGCTGCCTGTAGCCTTTATGCTGAAGGATCTTTGTGGTTTTCATTTGCTAACATGCATGGAAATGAGAACAAATGGCACGACAGTTAAGACTGCGTTTTGCAACCCAGAGAAGCAACACAGATCCATTATCAGAAACCTCTGAAGATGTTTTGGATAGTAACCGTCTCATGTACTTCAAAAAACCTTCACAGAATTCTGTACCTAATATTGCACAACTGAAGCCAACTCATAGACACGTTGCCTATGCACCTATAATGCAGGAAATAATTAATCAACAAGGGAATGCAACTATTTCTTCATCACACAAAAAAAGGAGCACCTCACTGCACATTTCTCTGCAGTCTAGAAAGTATAATGGATGTTTTCAGCCTGGTGATGGTGTGGCTGCTAGTGAAGACACCTCGTTTTTCAGCATTGGTAATGAAGGAGGCTGTGGCATTAGAACCGTGGTTGATCATGGATCTAATGATAGTCACCTGAACAGTGCTGCGTTGTGCCACGGCAGCCTGGGCAGCATCGCGGCCAGCGAGAACGGATCCCTCAGCAGTGCTGGCAGTGACTATGGATCATGCGCAAGTACCACCAGCGATGGAGGTTCCTACACCAACAGTATCATCAGTGACTGTAGCAGCTGTACCCTTTCAATAGGTGATGGTACTTTCTGTAATAATGTTGTATATGGTAATTCTTCGTATAGAAACATAGCAAACAAATGTAAACCTTGCAGGAACAGCTCGTCTCAGGAAACACTGTGTAGAGGTAATACTGCTTTTGATCAGGATGCTTTGACAGTGAGGAAGAAAACTAAAATTCCACTGCGACGTTGTTCGTCATTGGTAATCTTCCCTAGGAGTCCATCCAGTACTCCTCCGACTTCTCCAGTAAACTCAGGCCAGCTGTCGCAGAGAGGGGTCTATCAAACATCCCATAAGCTAATTATTTCTCCTGGCGAACCGGCACAAAAAGAAGATCCTACCATTCCCAAGGGATTCCTTTCCACTGCAGTCAATGGACTTCGACTATCTAAAGCAGTTTGCTCTTCTGGTGAAGTTAGAGATGTTCGACCACTTTACTCGAATAGTTCATTACAGGACAAAAATCAAATTTTGAATAGTTCTGAGCAGGCACCTTGTGAAGAAGTATCTGATGGTTACTCTTGTATTTCAGTCCATCTTGCTCAGAGAGCATTTCCATCGAGTAATGAAATGGTTAATGGCTGTTGCAGTCCAGAGTTAAATCTGAACTCCAGTGCAAAATATCCTCAGATAAAACTGGCACGCAGCACATCTGCATGTTTACCCTCAAAAATAGATTCAGAATATCAGATTAATATTAGTGAACTACGAAGACCGAATGCACAGATGAGCCGAACCCACCATGTTTTGCAAAGAAGTGTTTCATTAGAAGGATCATGTCAAAAAGTTTCTTGCTGTTTATCCAGTCTTAAATACAAGTGTCAAAACGCGAGGACGTCTCAGTTGCACATTCAGTTCAAACCGGGGAATGAAGCAAAACCAAATGGTGTTAAGAAAAGATACGGAACCTCTAAAAGGGAATTATCGAGCAGTTATTTGTGGAGGCCCCATAAGGTGAGTGCTGTGGTTTATAGAAAAAATTGACAGCATTTTACAAATTAAACTTAACTGGAAAATACTGAATATCATACTAAGGACTTAAATATAGATATTTAAGAAATTCGCAGTGGTGTTAAATTGTCACTATTAGGAGGTATAGTATTTTAATACTATCTGTAAAATGCTTGATTTTGTAGATTTGGTTTTTTAAACTGTAGTACCATTTGGTGAATAGTTGTTACAGCGCAATACCTGTATTTGAATGTATTATAAACCATAACTTTCTGTTTACATGAAGTCGAAGGGATTTTCTTGTCAAGTTAATTAGACATTTAGATTTAAAAACTTCACTTGCATTTTAGATGGAGTTTAAGTACATAGATTGTTCAATATGTATACTCAATAGAGTTATTGAAATTGCATATAAATGCTTAAAAATTAATAGATTGCTATACTATCCTTTAGGTTTATGTAAGCTTTACTTTACAGAACAGTTTGCTCTGTGTTGAGTTAAAGATAAGTCCTATTTGAGCAGAGGAATTGTAAATACCATTTGTTTCTGTATACACCCTGAACCACAGGAATTTTCAGAGTTTCCTCTCCTTTTTTTCCTTCCAACCACTAGTTCAGCCTGAGCAGTACACTCTAACTTACTACTTCTCCCAACAACATTGCTGTCCAAATTATAGTACTTGAATTTATAAGGCTTATATTAAATATATGTTTGGTAATGAAAGTCATTTGCATCTAAGATTCAGAAATGTGTTTGCTCTTATTAACTCTTGAGGTTTGTTTACATTGGTAGTACAGCTTAAGTACAAGAATGGTGGATTTTAAAAAAAGGTTTTGAAGATAGGGTAGAATGGAAACCAAAAGCCTGAATGCCAAATTGTTGCAGCTCTGTTGTATTCTTCATCTATTTGCAAATAGCTGGAGTTATGCTTTGTTTAGATATGGATTAAAAGATGTAGAAAACTGGATCCTAAATGCTATATACCCACATCTTCTGTTTCAGTCTTCTTTGCTGAAGGACAACAGCCACAGGAGCCTTTGTGTCTTAAAGTGGTCCTTTCAACCTTAATGTAAAATCAGTTTCTATATAATATTCTGTAAAACACATTGTCAGAAGGAATAAAAACTCATCAAAAAAAAAAAAAAAACATAGCTAACTACAGCAATTCAGCATTTGACTAGAAGAAAATGCATCTTTGGATATTGCCCTTTCTATTAGCCTTCATGACAATTATAATAGGTTCTACAGTAATTATTTAATTATATAGGCCAGTTAATTATCATGGTGTATTGTGACTCATTTAAAAATAAACAACTCCCAAAATATTTCTCTTGACTCCAGTTAGTCTGGCCTAGTATATTGATATGCTGAGTCTGGGTTCAAATTTAACAAGTTGATACTGGAGTAGCATTTAGTAATGTCAGCTATCTGTACAGAGCAGTCATGAAATCAAATCAGTGCTTTGGTCAGAGACTGCAGAGTCTGAAGCAGCGAAAGGTCTAGGCATTCTTTTCTTGCATGCCTAGCTACTAGCCTTCAGCCACCTAATATCAAGTTTCCTGCTTTCTATAATCATCAGCTTGTTAAAGGCTGACTTGAAGAAAAAAAATCAAAACCATAAAAAAAGTTAGTGAGAAACTGTTTCTGTGACAACAGCCCTTGAATTATTTTTAATTAAGTTGAAAAATGTGGAGAGTTGATGGCCTGCATACCTCATGCATGCGTTGGATGAGTTCTGCAGCACATAGTGGAATTTCATTTATGTGAAGCAGGAGGTGGAGGTATAAAAGTCTATGATTGCAGCATTTAAGATTGTCCTTGACTCTCTCTTTCTGTTTCTATTATTTTTCAGTGCATACAGCCCTTCTGCAAGTCAGTGCAGAGCAAAAACACTGTTCAGGCCAGTGATGCAAGGAAAGCAGTGGGAAGGGGGACAGGTTGCATGTCTACATGTATGCAAATATTAAGTATTAGAAAGGACAGGAGGAGCAGTTGGTACAGTTCCACTTGTAGACCATAAACATATGCCTAAAAAATGGTTAAACTGATTTCTTCCACAAGTATAATATTGTGTTGACTTTACTTTTAGTGGTGGCCATTCCTTCCAGATCAGGATCACTGCTGGTTAGAAAATATAAACATCTGAAGTGTACTTACAAATCTGTTTCAGCATGATATGCCTTCAAAATAATTTCTTATAAAACAAAGGGAAGCATTGTAGTCCTTTTTTTACAAGCTATTTTACTTAAATTTTATTGAATGGAGTGCAACAATATTGAAACAGAAATCTTCAGAGGTAGCATACCAAACTTTATATTGTCATTCTTGTATGAAGAAAACTTTCAATTGAGTTGAGCATGTTTCATCAGGTTCAGAACTCATTTTGTATTTGTAAGGGAAGATACCATTCAAATTTTCAATACTGATGGCAATAGTAGTATTGACTACCATCAACCATCTCTTTTATTTAAACTTGGATAAAAGGTCATGATGGTTTGGGGAGTTATGTCTCTTTGCTAACCTGCGACACAGCTGACACAAACATGCTGAGTGGACCAGAGCCTGCATTGGGAAGAACTTGATTCCTCTGACAAGTGCAGCACCACAGCTGCTGATGCTGCTGATGCTGGGAATGTCGTGTTCTCTTGCATCCTTTTGATGTCAAGTATAGCTTCTGTCCTTGCAAAACTCCTTCACTGCCTTCATGGTTCAGCCTTCCCAGGCCTCAGACCATGCAGGTTATAGAGCTGTTTGTCCTGCTTTGGTGCCTGGTGCTGGGAAGAGGGAGAAGGGGACGGGAGCTGTGGCTCCTCTCCAGCCAGCTCTGTCTTTATGTATTTTGAGCAAAGGGCCTCTATGGCTGTCAGTGTCTCCAGTCTGTGCAGGGAGATGTACTGCACACACAATTCTTGCGTCAAGGCAAATGAAAAACTGACTTTTTTTTTTGCCTTTTGCTATGATAACCTCAGAACCTAATAATTTTCATATTGTTCCATATTGTACATCTTAAAGGATCATCTTAGCGGGCTGTTTCCCATCGCTATTTTGGGTATCCTTTTAGTCAAAGAGAACTGAGGAGCTGTGTTACTGAAGGATCCTGATACCAACTACATTAGGCGTAAATGACATCAAAACTTAGTTTCGGGGGAGATTCAGATTTTCATGGCTTCAGCAAAGATCGTAAAAGGTTGGCTATTTTTTGTGTATTCTATTTTGTAGTTATTTCCCCATAATATTCTCTTTTGGTTTTTACTCTCACCTCTGGGCCTGCTGCAAATATTTCTCACTGTAACTTCTCTTCCACTGCATTTCTCTCAGCTTCTAATGGGATTTTTTTAAAAAAAATTAACTATATCAGTTCAACTCATCAGCCCTTTCACTCCACAAGCAGTGAAGCAGAATGTATTACTTGATCAGCAGGCCAAAGAATGCAGTCTTTTTTTTGTGTGTTAATAATCAGATTATTGTAATAGAAATTTTGGTTTTTGTGTAATGCTGGGCAATAAGTTATTTTCTTATTTTGAAACACTATATAGTATATAAGTAATTTCAGAGCTCCTGAAACAGTTACATATATAGAGAGATTTTTAATTAACCCTCCTTCTAGTTGACTCATGGCCTTTTAATCTTACATGAGAGAGAGGGGCGGAAAAAAATAATGGTGTGGCTTCCTTAAAAAAGCCCCAAGTTATAGTGGTGCCATTTGTAAGACCTGAGCAGTTTTAAGAATGTGTTATAAAGTGAAACTTGCTTCCAAGGACAAAGAGACATTCTTACATTTACTCTTGACTAGACAAGTTGCAGGCTTGCAGATATATGACTGTGATCATTAGTCGGTCTACTTGTATCTACAACTCTTTTATTTTTTATTTATATTAAATAACGCTTTGTGTTGAACAGAAACATGCTCTAGGAAATGTAATACAGAAATTAGTCCTTTTAGTTACTATGGCATAAGAAAAATCCTTGACACAGTTACCAATACTTGCAGGTATTCTCCCAAGAATTGTCAAGAAGCTCAGCTACAAAATTGTTGAAATAGTCTGCAATGAATAATCTGTTAATCTAGTAGGATCCTTTACTGAAGGAAGGGTAGATGGTAAATAACATGCTGGTATTTTAAACAACCTAAGGGAATGGAGGGCATTACAGGTTCTTCTAAGAGGTCAATTTGGAAAAAGATTATGCTGAATTTGTAAAGGAGATTCACTACATAACTTCACTTTGTCTCACAACTAACCAACAGTATCTGATGATGCATGATATAATTAATACATGACTCACTTAAATTTTCAAAAAATACTTGCCAAGAATTCTGGAAAAAATTCCCCAAAATACAATCAAGGCATAAGTGAGGAGATTGCATTCTCATGGTTAACAACTATTTGGAAGATAGGAAAGATAACTGAGAATTAAATTGTCAGCTCTGAAGTTGCAGAATATCTTGTGGTAGTGAGTGCCTAGGCACTAGAACTGGAGCTTTGAAAGTTGTTGTTGGTAAATGCTGAGGATCCTGCCCGGAGGAGGGGTAGCTGCTGATGCCTGTGCAGCAACTGTCTTCAGTGCCACTCAGAAATATATTATGCCATGGTGAATGACTCGGTGAAAATGTCAGCTTCAAACTTGTTGGCAGTTAAAAGGTAAATTGAAGGGTGGGATTCATTAGAAAAGAAAAAAGAAATGAAATTAAACACCATTGTGGACTTGTATAAATTCACATATCCGTGCTGTGCATAATTATGGACACCAAGTTTTAGAAAGTGTTTATAATAGAGCTAGAAAAATAGAGAATGGTGACAACATCAGATGTGTTTTAAGGCAGGAGCCCCTAAATAAACGTGGGGATGTTTGACTTAGGAAAAGAAGAGTTGCAGGATGTTATACAAGTTTATAAAACCCTTGTGGACATGATGTGAAGGTGAACAAGGAATTTACTTTATCTTACAAAACAAATACTAGATGACATCCAATAAAACTACATGTGAAGGGAACTTCATTCTCT